CCAAATCACCTAGATATTTTGAATTTATAACGGCAGAAGATTTGCCACCGAAGTATTCAAATTGACATTGGATAATATCAAGTTTTGCTAATTCTTGAGGTTGACAAGATAAAGAAAGAGGAGTAGTTGTAGAGGCAGATTTTGAAGTTTCTAGGAACTCAAAAGATGATATTGAAGTTTTATCAAAAATTTCTTGATGGATATGGGAAACTTTGGATGAAGCATCGTAGTATCCGCTAGATTCAGCATCATCAATTGAAAGATTTTTCAGGTTATCATCATCAAGGTTACTACACTCACGAATGTCTTTATCATCAATTGAAAGGTTTTTCAAGTTATTATCATCATCAAGGTTACTACACTCACGATCATCAATTTTAGGATTTTTTGTCAAACCATTAGCAGTACCTAAAGAAGCAAAGATAGCATTCAAGCTATTTATATCCGAAAACCAAGTCTCCTTTTGTTTATTCGTTGAATCATGAGAAGTAGAAGAGTCAATTGAAATTATTTGATCAGTTGTTAAAGCAGATTCACCTTGTAAGGTGTCAAATATTGAAGAAACAGAAGGATTTGTTTTATTATCATTATGAGTTAATGAAGGAGGAATTGGAGAGTTTTCTTTTTCCATTATCAACATTGAATATAATGATAAATTATTAGAGATATTATTAGAGATTAATTAGCACATGTACGTATGTATGCACGCAAGCAAAACTACGAGAAAAAAATGAGAGTACGGTTAAAAATTCGCATACATACAGTACTTACCTATTTATATCAGATGCACGTATCACTGTATATCCCAAACAAGAAACTTGTAATACAAAGTTTTTTTTTTCCATCCAGGCGCGTACATGCTAGTATTAGAATTTTTTCCAAAAAATTTCGGTATTTATATTTTGTTGATTAATTCGTGGAGAGCTGAACTGATGAAAGAAGAAAAAAGAAGAAATACGATACACGGAAGGCACTTGATCATTTATTCATTTTTTTAATAAATAATAATTGAAATATTTTCAAAAAATGTCATCCATTGTTGTAAAAATACATACATATATTAAGGAAATAGTAGAATTAAATATTAATTATTACAGCCGACAGGTACGTACTATCTACGACACTCACTACGTATCTATGTATGACAGACCTCCTTATCAGTTATAACGAGTATTATTGTTAATTCGATACGTGTAGAAAGTGCAATAGGTTCTCGAGGAAACATACGTAGTGACTTTATAACGAACCTTCTTTTCTCCCAAAACCATTTTGCTTGTTATGGAAAGTATGATTACAGTATGATATTACGGTACGATATTACGGTACGATATTACGGTTCAATATTACAGTACGATATTACGGTATGATACGTATTACGGTATGATACGTATTATCCAATGTCAATTTGAATACTTCGGTGGCAAATCTTCTGCCGTTATAAATTCAAAATATCTAGGTGATTTGG